CTCAGGTTTAACACCCAAACTAACTGTTCGCGGACTGCGCGGCGTCTGGCTCGTCTGCTCATTGACTCCTCCCAGACGATCTTTTTTTTTTACAAATGGGCACGCTGGAATATTGATGACTAACTGCCTCTAAGAAGATATAAATCTACATTATAGATCTACTCAACGATCATTATTTTAGGCCAAAGAATAAACAATTTCACTCTACAACCATGACCACTAAATCTGTTTATATATAGTTTTAAGAAGTGTGTGCCTTTAATTTACGCAAGTTATTTAAAAAAAAAACCGACTCGTTATAAAATGACGTTATTAAATTTTTTAGGTGTCTCTCTGCGTTGCCGTGTGGACCGTCCATAGACGTCGCCATACAATTTTTCTCGTGGTTTACTCTACCCCCACTCGCCACTTGTAAAAAAAAAAAAAAAGACTGACTTACACAAATGACGTCGCAAGGTTTAATTCTCACGCTCTTTTCTATTCCCAACGTCACTCTCCCCAAGTCAGAATCCTTCTTCTTCCCCCCCCCCCCCAATCGAAGGTGATGTCATTTATGACCGACAGCTTATTTATCTTGTAATGTTCATGCTTATAACATTCAATCTCTATAAGAATGTGTAAATTAATACAAATAAAGAACCGTTTACTACGGGTATAATTTGTTAACATAAACCAATAAACTAGCCATGTTCTGTAGTAATCTATAGCATATGTCTCGCGTTAGAGATAGGTAATTTATACACGGAGTAGAGAAATCTTTTTTTTTTTAATTTTATACACGGGAAGCTTCATTAAATTAACAGCGTTGCCTCGCTCCTTCCTAACCTAAACACGAGTAGAGAAAGAAGACAGTAAGCGCCCCTAGTTTATCGGGTAGGTTTGATCGTAACGAGCTCACATGGTAGTCTGCCAGCCTACGGGACTGACTGGTTGGGGGAGGCTTCACCTCATGGATTAAAACTCTAGCACGGTTTGCGTGTTGGTCAACCGCACACCCCTGTGCTCACTAACCTACATTCCTCTAAAAGGTTTACAAGACGATGGTTTTGCCAGATCGCACACCGGTTTCTTTTTCTCCATCCTGCTTTATTCCTATGACCTTTCTATGCGCTTCTAATACGTGAATGCTAACATGTCTCTGTTGAGGTTTTTTTTTTCTCTCTCTAGATTTCAACTAGCGAAGTAGATCTATTCAGTTTTCTTTAAATCAAGCGTATAGTGTAAAAAGGTTTTAGATATTCTTGTGCTCGTGTCTGTTAGTGATATTTGACAGCAACGGGATTTATTTCTTGGTGTATTTGGATTACAATTGGTAGCTGAATGTGATGATAAAAAAACTGACCCAGTGGGTCAGATCTGCATCCAGTAAACCTAAGCAGGACCGGATTACAATACACAGAAGACGGCCTAATAGGTAAACGTTTTCTATGCTCGGCTTGCTCATTAATCTAAACTTGTTGTAGTCATCAATTTCTAATAGGTATTTACTATATTAAAATACGTTTATGTGCTATGGCGTGTTAAACTTTTGCTTGCATAACAATAAAGCTAAAACATTGAATGAAACATTTACCCTTTGGTAGCGTGGTAAATCATTATATAACGGCTATAGTCGCCGTTATTATTTCGTATTTATTTTGTTTGGTTATATTTACACACAATACATAAATAATTACCATAAGTCGTCTATGGACTGTTAAAATCTTCGAAGCGTTGACTTTACAAGTGGGATAAAATACTAGACTAGATCTAGAAGATTCTTTTCACTTCTGGATTTGCGTTTAGACCCGCCCGACTTCTTGTCGTCGTCCTTCAGCTGATTGGGGGCTTAACAATCTAGCATCACTTTTTCAATGAATAGCGTCGGCTGACGTAAAATAAGAAAGTGGGGGTAGTGGGATAGTTTTCTTATTGATTTCTCACCCAGCCGCTCGGCCTGCAGCCAGTGCACGTGTGTAGAGATGGGCTGGTTTGTCTTCTATCCGGATTCTAACATCATCGTGACTTAATGGGCTGCTTGTGTTTTTAAATTCTACCAGGATTTCGTTTTCACGATATCGTACGACACCCTACCGTACTCTGGTTGGGTCTGAGTATTCTGTAGGCGGTAAAATGAGAACTCTGAATGAGTAGCCAGCTCTCGCATCGATTATGGTAATGCTCTGTGCTCACGTCAAATACATCGCTCCCTTGTCCATTTTATCGCGCCTCGTCTTTGATTCATATTACAATGGCTTGATCTCGTGATAGCAACAGTTTTTACTTTTGTCTTCTCGAGTGGAACTTGGTTTGGTTTTCAAGGCAAGCGATTCTCTACCCAGCTAGGCTAATAGCACTGTTTTTCTGATAGCTGTTGCTTCTACGCTGTTGTCACCCAGTCATGACGTAATGGAGTTTAGGGTAGCGTGCTAACCAAAATACGTTGTTTTGAGGCAGTTTAAGAATGAAAAGTTCTAGATGCCATCCAACGATTCTGTGCTAACACCAACTAGCAGCAATTCATGGACATGCCTGTGTATTGGTATATTTAGAGAAGTGGAGACTGGACAAGAGAACATGGTGTCTACTAAAACTGAGAACAGTTCTAGTCCTGAATCAGAGAAAAATGCCTTGACCTTTTGTGATAGTGATGATAAGCAGGAATTCACTGAAAAAAACAATGAGCAAGCTAAAGATATAAATTTCAATGCAACATCTTCTGAACAAATTGGTGAAAGCTCAACAGATACCAATGTGACTGAAACAATAAGGTCAGCCTTTCAGTTCCTTAAATTATTTTTGTAGTGTTTCATCTAAAGCCTATAACCCAATGGCTACACAGAGGTTATTGAAAGTTGCATTATACTTTCCATTTGTCTACTCTGTATTCTTTTCCCACCCCTATCCACCCTTCACTACTCTTTTTACATTGGTAGCTGTTCTCTGGGCATCATTTACCCTATAAATGTGACATTTTGAGGTCAAAGCCCAATCCTGTTGGTTCTCTCTTCCCCCCCCCCCCCCCCCCCCCCCTCACCACCACAGCCTCCTCCCCCATTATACACAGGTTAGCTTTTCTCTTAGTGTGAACTACCACACAAGTTTAACAGATGCTTCAAGGCCAGAGCTATCTTCCACTAGCTTTTTTTTTATCTCCTTAAATGGTCACTTTGTTTAGTTACTGGTAACTTTGTTTACAGATAGCTGAGCAGTAAACAGTGCTCTTGATCCAGTCACAAATTACTATTTACACAGATGCATCAGGACATCTGGTGTTTGCTAGGGCTCTATTTAAAACCTTAGTGGCTTGTGAATCCATTCAGAGGAACTGATCTTCTTAGGTTTGATTTAATTGGATATGGATGAACTATAAAAATTACTTAGTGTATAATGGTAAGGATTACACAGAGAAAGAGAGTGATAATTTGTCAGTGAGTACTGTTTTATCTTAAGTGTTAGCTTCTACCTATACACACTCATTTGTGCATAAGGCAGTAATTTTATTTTACCGGTGTGCACATGTCATTTATGATTGATGCTAATTACGTTCTATAAAAGAAATATTTTTAATTACTCCATGAGTAATTTTATTTGATATTAAGTTTAATGATTACTAAAGGTGTAATGAAAAGGTTTGCTTCAATTTTAAAACAGTTGCAATTAGAAGTTAATATTTTATATTTTTGTGTTAAAATATTTAAAATGTAGGCTTTATGATCTGTAAACAAAATATTAGCCAAAATTTATTAGTTCCAGAATTTGAATCTTGACATTATTTCACATTTTGATCCTACCATATTTTTTTCTAAGTAAAAATGTTAACAGTCAATTGCATTCTTAAATGGTTTAACTATTTTACATTTCTGATTTATGGAAAAAATTTCCTTATTTTTGTGTGTTTTGTAAAGTGCTATTCAATGAAACAAGGCGTTTTCATTAATAAAAAAGATGATACACATCTTCAATTTTTTAGAATGTACTGTGTTAATGAAAGTTTTTTTTTTATTTAGTTATTACACATAATAGTCACTCTTAGAGTATATTCCAAGCTAAATATTACAAATGAGCTATTTGCTATAAAATTAAAAAGGGTTTTCTATTATTTTCAACTTGAGGATAACCAGTATTAACTTCACTTTAACTTGTTAAGTCATTTAGGCAGAGTTATACATACTTTGGCCAGGTGCCACCACAAATGAATCCCAACTTCCTTGAGTCCCATCCAACAAGGTTGTAGCCAATATTGGTCCAGGGGACAGACCACAGAGACACCACTCTCTTGATCTCGGCAGCAATCTCCTTCTAGTTGATGTTTAACGCCATCCTGACCAGGGCTTGACCAATACTTAAAGCATATGACTCAATAGTATTCGGTTAGAAAAGGGTTTCAGTGAATTTCTCATGAATTTACTGTAATTAATTTTTATATGTGGCTGTATTATCTAAACCGTAGCTTCTCCCATCTCAGGCCCGCAGTTGACCACTTGCAGTGTTCTACTCTATTTGGAACTGCGTTGTGTGGTAGTGGAGGCATCAGTGTACCCTTCTATGCAGAATTAGTTTTACCCCACTCATCTGCCATACAATACTATAGTGTAGAGCAGGCGACTCCCAAAATATTTGAACCTGAATGTTAAAACTTACTCTGTATCTCAATGATTGATTGTAGTTGAGCAGTGCCCGTCTGTATGGTTTTGAGTTTATATGTATACATGATCTGCCTTTCAATACACTGCTCACAGCTGTGATGCAATTGGTTTATATAATACTTAAAACAATGACATTTTTTTTCAAATAGGACATAAGTATGTTGCAGGAAATTTTAATTCCTCTATATCTATGATTTACTTCCCTTCCCAAGATTCTGGTACCTTGTATTGTTAAAAATCTTGACTCATAAACTCCAAGCAAAATTTTATGCTGTTGGACGGCAGCTAACAATGTACTTTCAAATCACTAATAAACTAATAAAAAAAACTTTGTAATTTTAATTGTAAAATATGCATACCATCTATTTATAGGTCAAATGATACCAAGAAGCATCATGAGCCACGATATGATGAAGAGGAAGAAGATGAAGAAGAAATTCTTGGTTCAGATGATGATGAACAAGAAGATCCCCGTGACTATTGTAAAGGAGGCTACCATCCAGTAAAGATTGGAGACTTGCTCAACAATCGTTATCACATAGTGCGAAAACTAGGATGGGGACATTTTTCTACAGTTTGGCTAAGTTGGGATCTTCAGTAAGTGGTTTGTTTTCACTACTTAGTGTACATAACACAGGGGTGCCACTTTTCCGGGATATCCCGGATTTCCGGATTCGAGAATCATATTTTTTTCCCTTTCCGGATTCGCAAGATTTGAGTTTGAAAATTTCCGGGTTTACAGTTTAAATTTTTTTTAGATCGTTTTAAGCTTAAAAATTTTGGCATTGTAAAAATCGTTTTTATCGTCAACACTCCCGCTAATGGCCTTTTCCGAAAAAAAATGAATAGTAAATGACGTCAGCAACAATCTCACGCGTGCGCCAAGGACCAACTACTAATCGGCTATATCAGATGGGTGAGGCTGTAGACGGAACTTTTTGATGTCATTCGTGGTGTGGCTATTTATGACGATATGGGTTGGGGTTAAACTCGCATTATTTACGTGATGTCATCAATGGGATACCGCTAGGCTGTGTAATAAAAACAACTAAATCCTACCATTACTAGCATCGCCAATCGTCTTTAAAAAAAAAAACAACCGAAAGATTTTGCTCCGATCAAAAAAAAATTGTGTATTTGGTATTACCAAAAGAAAAGAAAAAAACTATTTGGAGGACTATTTTATGTATGAAATAGAACTGTGCTGTTTTCACTCAACTTTACCGTCACTTTTTACCACCTCTTACCCGCTTCTTCAAGGTCGCGCTGACCGTAAGACCTACGTCACGAGGACACGCAAGCACAGTCTGAGTCGTGTCTCTCTGTCAAGGCAGTTCTACAAGTACAAGCGCTGTTTAATTTTAACGTGGTTATTTTTAATAAGGGCCTACTTCTAGATTCAAGAAAAAAAATAGATCTGCATCGTTTTATATCATTAAACAAAATATGTAGGCCTGCTATAATTTAGTTACACGATCTAGCAGGGTCTACATCTGTTTTTTTTTTTTACTTTGGTAAAACGTCATTGAAATGTTTAAAAAATCTTGAAGTACCGTGTCTGAGAAAATAGCCGCTATCACTGCCCCCTCTGAACCGCTTGTAAAAAAAAAATCCGCTTTTCACTTAGTCGGGCGGCTACATCTCTGACATGAGTATTACTAGCGTAGAAAATTATTTTTAAAATTAACTTAATTCTGTTATTTTGCGATGTGAACTTAAAACTTCCACGATATTTCTTCACGTCATCATGTATATAAAAGGTGGGGGCATTGGGGTCGTTCATAAATGACGTCACACTCGTAGGGGGAGGGGGGGTCCGTAATTTTGTCATGAGGGGGAGGGGTTCAGATGGTGTGACATCACACTTTTGCATTATCCAAAAGCTATGTTAGAAATCGAATTTTAGCCGTTATTTCGCGGTCAAGAATATTGTTTCAATAAAGTGTAATAGGAATTGATTAAAATACTATATGTTGACAGAGGTCAGACAAGATTTTTGGAAAAATATCGTATTTTAAGAAAAATTCAACTGCAATTTTTAGGGGGGGGGGGGTGTAGGCTGAGGCGTGACGTCATTTTAGAGGGTGAGGTCTGGCTTTTTGTGACGATATGTGACCGAGGGGAGGTGGGAGGTAAAAATCGTCAAAAAAGCGTGACATCATTTATGGATGACCTCATTAGTGTTGATTGGGAAAACAGGGTTTAATGTTTTTGTTGTGGCTGTTAATAATTAAAGCCTTGAATAGCTACAGTAAGTCAACCCTGTATTTTAATACAGTGACAATCTTATTAGGGGTCTGCATATAGTGGGCTTATTATTCAACAACAAGACGTAGAGGTTAGCAAAATATTTGTTACTTAACAGTTGGCTGACTGACACTTAAACTCAAGCTAGGAAGTTCTAAAAAATTAAATAGTTATGTTATAAAAGCTGGCTGGGGGGGGGGGGGGGGAGTTCTACAATAGCACATTATGGGGTAGGCCTAGAGATGGGACTAACATTGTAAACTAATTTTGGTTTAAGCACAATCCTTTAAAGATTATTTTTTATTTGAAGCTTGTTACAAAGAAAATAAATCCATTTTAAAGGAATATAATATGAATCAAATGTCTCAAAAATAATGAAATAATAGTCCATTTTATTTTGAAATTCCGCGCGAAATTAAGTTTCAGGGTTTCAAAAATTTCAAATTTTAGTTTCAGGATTGGTAAAATTTTGGGATTCATTTTCAGGATTCACTTAAAAAATGAGTGGCACCCCTGCATAACATCAAGCATTCAAAATTGAATAAGCAATTTAAAAAATAGGCAATGTATTGGCTCTAAAATTAGCAATGTCTGAATTCACTGTTTACTATGCTACAACCCTGCCAGTTTACATTCAAATATACAGAATGAGACTTTTCTTAACCCTTTGTCTTGCCATGAAAATTCATCAGTATATTTTTAAATACTATATTTGAATATATGATCCTCTTTGCTTTAATATTTTGAAAACTTATTTTAAACAAGTTTAGTATCTTTTTTCATATTTCATATTTTTCATTTTCATTTATATGATAAGAAATAATTTGTGTTTCGAAACATTTAAAATACTTTTTGTACTTTGACAGATGCAAACGTTTTGTTGCTCTCAAAGTGGTAAAAAGTGCACAACACTACACTGAGACTGCCTTAGATGAGATCAAGCTTCTCAAATGCGTAAGTTGACTTACTGATTTTTATAAAGCAGAATAGCATTCTTACATCTTCATTTAATGCATATTAAATTTAGAATTAATTAGCTTCTCAAATGCGCAAGTTGACCTACTTTCATGTGTGTAAATTTTGACACAATTAGGTTCGTGAGGCAGATGAATTGGACCCTCACAGAGAAAAGGCTGTTCAGTTACTTGATGACTTCAAAATCTCTGGAGTGAATGGAACCCGTATCCTTTTTTACTTGCATTATTTTTAATTGTGTACTAACTACTTCAGAATAATGAAAACAATGAAAATTTTAAAATCTGCAATTTTCTTTACAAATAAAACATGTATAAACACAGCTCTTTAAATTCCTTAACTCTTATTAGATGTATGCATGGTTTTTGAGGTTTTAGGTAATAACCTTCTGAAATTGATCATTCGTTCTAATTACCAGGGTATTCCTTTGCATAATGTTAAGCTTATTATAAAGCAGGTAGGTCAAATTCTTAATTTCACATTTGTTTTTAAGTTAAAGTAGTTGCTCAAGTGGTGCTGAATAAAGTTATGCTGAAAACATAAAATGTTGGTTTAAAAATTAATGGATTTTAAATATCTAGTTGGGAACATTATGTTTAAAAAGAAATCTGACATTTAGCACTGACGTATTAGTCAATTTTACATTTTTTAATTTATGTTGTCAATTAATAAGTCTGTAATGGTAATGCTGCTTTAACATAGCTATTCAAGCTTCAACTTGTAATCTTGAAATTATAACTGGATTTGTTTTCTCCTGTTAGGTTTTAGAAGGGTTAGACTACCTGCATACAAAATGTAAAATAATTCACACTGACATAAAGCCTGAAAATATTCTTATGTGTGTTGATGAATCACATATAAGAAAACTAGCAGCAGATGCAATTGAATTTCAGAGGATGGGACTCAAATTACCCGGTTCTGCAGGTGGGTTAGGTTATTGCTTGGTTTTTGTATTTAACTTCTTATTTAATGATTTAACATCTCAGCATATTTAATAATATTGATGTAAGCACAACTTAAGCTATTTCTGCATTTATATTTTTTGCATTCATTCCTGCCTTTAAAAAAATTTTAAATTACATTTTAGTGAGCACTGCCCCTAAAGAAAAACCCGTGGATATTTCAAAAATGTCAAAAAATAAGAAAAAAAAGATGAAAAAGAAACAAAAAAAGCAGGAACAGCTAATACAAATGCAAATGAAACAATTGGAAGAATTAGATAGAGAGAAAGGAAGTGACAAGAGACCGGTAAGAGATTTTAAGTTGTGATTTTTTCATATTACTGTAATTTAAGCTTTAATAGCTAAAATTTCTTTCTGTATTAATATTTGTGGCTTGTCTATTTATCTCTTAAAGTAATCTGATTTACATCTTAATCAATTTTGACTCTTCAAATTTTCAGGACAGCCAAAATGCCCAAATGATAAACAGCATTAGTGCTAATAGTTTACAAAATATGGAGGCAGAAACAAGCAGCAACAGTAGCAAAAGTATCTTGTCCAACAATGCAGGAGGTGGTGATGACCACAGAACTAAATTAACAAATGGTCAGAGAAAATCTTCTGTTGTAGAAGGAGAAAATAATAATGCAATAGGTTAGCCAAATACTTTTTAAGATTCACAGTTTGAGAATTGCAGAAGTTTCTAAAAGACGCAAATGTCTATGAAAACTTGCTAAATTATGGGATATTATATTTGTCATTTCACCAGTTTAACAGAATTTTATCATTTTATAACTAAATAAGGTTTATATATGAATACGGTTCTTACAGATAGAGTTCTTTTAAACCATATCCCCATCTTTTATAGACAATGAGATACATTTTGAATTGATTTATCATAATCAATGTTATCCCATTAAGTAAATGTGTCGGCTGATTCTCAATAAATATTCATCTTTTAATCAGTTAAGAAATATGTTTTATTAATGAATGGGGGTGTTTTATGATTATCATGGATTCATTAGAAGCTAGCAGCTCCTTCCTTCAAATGTAACATTAACAATTTTCTGTTTTTTAGTTACAGGAAACAACTTACAAACCAGTGACCAGTCAAATTCAGAATCTAAGGAGAACAAGAGAAATGAAAATGCAGTGAACATGGAAAGTAACATATCACCCTCAAACTTGAGTGACATAACTTTAATCACAGAGCAAGAAGAGGAATCCTCACTCCTAAACAGATCCTCTGGTTCTGAGAGTCAGTCTGCAGCTATTGCCAGGCTAAATGTCACTGGTGAAACAGATACAAACCAGATGGCTTATATCAATAACAACAGTCCTACACAGAATAACACAGACAATAAAACCAGCAATGCTGTAGTTGCTCCTAATCCATCAAACTATTCAGGACCATTGTGTAATGGACATTCCTCAGATTTCTCTAGAGACTCATCAAGTATGGAAACAGAATATTCAAAGAAAACTGAAGAGGATGAGGAACTTCACAATAGTAAAAACTGTGTCTCAGATATGCACTCCTCAGTAGTGGATGGGGCAGGCGAATGTTTGATAGATGAGGATGAACTATGTGTAACTGATGGTTCAAAACTTGTTAATAGTGTTTCCGTTGAATCATGTGATGGTGAAGTAGAGGATATGCAGACAGAAGCAAGCCCAGATGATGGTAATTATGCTTTAATTTTTTTTTAAAGTTGACGTGACTTGTTTTTATCCTGTCTGTTTATGCTCTTTTAGAGTCTAAAATCCTATTTTTTTGTCCATCTTAATGCTATTTAGTTTGGCACAACATGAATAATCCCTTAAAATGCTGATGGTCACTATTCAGCAAGTTTAACAACAATAATTAACAAAAATTAATCATTAATTTAAAAAAAAGTATAATGCAAGGGGTTTTGATTGCTCTTCTAGACTTTAAACCCATAAAAATTCCTTGTGTTTGGAATGCCATTTATACTGACCATGACTACAAAATCTTGTAAATTCTGCTTGATAAATAAGGTGCTCCTCATCTAAAAGTCGGTAAAGCTCATGGTTGCTAAACCGAAAAGTCTTGAGTTCGAACCCTCGGGCAGATGAGGCTCGTTAGCTGGGGACAGCCACTCTTCTAGGAGAGAAACTCCAAAATTAAACAACTGCTGCCTTGTAGTTTGTTCTTGGTTGGACAAAGGCTATGGAAGCAAATCCAAAAAGAAAAGCAGGCTGAAATCGGAGTCAATGGCCTCAATGGCGCAAAACCAGTTGACACGTAACGCTTAATTGTGTTGGAGGCGTGGTCGAGTCGGCAAAAAGCTCATGGTTGATACATTCGAACAGTCTCGAGTTCAAACCCACTGGCAGATAAATCTCGATCCCCTTCAACACTAATAATTAAGAACGAAGAAGAAGAAGAAAATCTAAAAGGCAACTTTAGGATTAGTTGTTATCTTACATGAGAATTAAACATTGCAAGATTTACTTGATAAAAAACAACTAATGAAATGTCTTTCTTGTAATCTTTTTTTTTGTTGAAACTGTCAATTTAATTAAGAATATTATTTGTACTTGTTTTTTTCAACATGTTATGTTAGTGATCAGTAAATTTGTGTAGCCCATTAACATTTTTGTAAAACAACATTCTTTACTGCTAACAGCACCATTTAGCAGATGCTTGAATGGACAGGAAGTTTTTGACATCTTTGCTGATACAAGTATGTGATAAAAATATGAATGTATTAGGACAAGTTTTGGAGGGACTTCTACTCTATAGACATGTCTTGTTTTTAACCCTTACTCTAATGTTGCTTTTCTTCTACTGTTTTGTCACAGAATGTGCTGCTCTGTAGACGCCTTTAAATTATTATTAACCCTAACTTTGTCCGATGTTGCTTTTCTTGAACAAATATTTTGACAAAGGTCCTGGTATGATAACACTAGCTTTGTCCAATGTAGCTTATCTGATACAATGTTTTGTTACAGAACATGCTGCTCCTGCTCGTAAACCTGACCCTGTACATGAGATCTGTGATGATTTTCCTGTCAAAATAGCTGATCTTGGCAATGCTTGTTGGACGGTTAGTAAAGATTATACTGGAAAAAGTTAAAATATAAATATTTCTATAAATTTTGTTGTAAGTTGTAGTCTTTTACCATTTATTATTACTGATAACTGTAGCTAGAGAGAAGTAGTTCAGTAAATCAACATTAACCAAAAACAATAGTAATCATTAGTATTTTGTATAGCCTTAATGTACACTGAGTCATTTGTACAATGTTTGCTGGTCAGAATTGAGAATGAATTTTTTAAAAAGTTTTCAGTCTGAATGTGAACAAAAGGGTAATATCTATATATATAATTCTCTTCTGGGAGCCGTTAGAAAACAAGCTGCAAGCGCCTCCTTGCAGTCCCCTCTCTTTCTCTCTATCACTATCACTACCACCCCCACCCCACCCCCACATTGTCTGGTGAGCTGTGGTCACGCTGTTTACATTTTACAATCATAGAGACGGGTTTGGTGACGGCTATTAGGGGCAGATAATTTAGTTTGAAACGATTTTAAAATTAGAGGAGGTAACTAAGAGGAGGCTGCTTTCACGTGGGGGGGAGGGGGGTTTAGTGTTTTTAAGCAAATATTTTCAGTGGCAGCATTGGTACTGTCAAATTCACAAATAAATTACTGAAAAGTAGAAAAAAAAAACCAACTAAATAGCGGCATATGATACACAGCGGGTCGGCTCGTAATATATAATATTTTTATGAATGATATGTCTGGCTGTTTTATTTGCTTATTTTCATTCTTTACAGTACCACCAGTTCACTGAGGACATCCAAACTCGTCAGTACCGTTGTCTAGAAGTGTTAATAGGAGCAGGTTATGATACACCAGCAGATATATGGAGCACTGCCTGCATGGTAAGGTTTACAAGCCAGTAGTTGGTACAGTATAGTAAATTTAGTAGGAACCAATTGTGTGAAATGTACCAGTACAAACTGATGGATATTATTTCACTTGACAAATATTTACACATTGATTCATTGACATTTCTTATAACCTGATTCATTTATGTGAGTCATCTTGAAAAAACTCAACATAATCTGAAAAATTTTTACTTACTCGTATACAGAGTATAGTGGAAGTATTGTAATATGCACAAAAATCACTTGAAATTTTGAATTTTTACCGTTTTACACCTCAGTACTTCGTCATATATAAGGATTATAAAGGACTTAATTTAATAAGGCAAAAATTCTAAATCTATTTTTATCAAAATCTTGGCTTTTTACAAGTTATTGAGTTGGAAAACTGGACTTTACTATTTGTGACAAAATTTCATATATAAGTATTAAATAAAATTTGTTGTTCTATATCAACTTTTCAGCAGTTTTGGGTAACCAGAAGTGGAACTTATTCTACTTTCAGTTTTTCAAAAGCCTTTTACTTAAGTACATTTTCAATTAGAAGGAATTTCACATAGAAGATCCAATTCTTTTTTTTCTTTAAAATTTTGAGTAATTTCTGGTGACTAGAAGTAGTACTTTACCCTATTTCCGATTTCTCAAAAAAAGCATATGAATTTATTTTTAACTTGATTCATCTGTCTTCTTTATAAAATACTAATGTTCCGCTCTATTATACACAGATTATTTACTGTTCATTTGGTGCGCAATTATTTCTTTTAATGAAATTTCATTCTATTTGAAAAAATTTGAAAATTGATTTTTAAAAAATGTCTGCAGCCCGACAACACTAGATTTGCCATCCCCATTTGTATTAGCTAAGAATTTTCCAGAAAGTTTCCTGGAGATCACTCCCCCTTTATTCTGTTACTACATCAAAAGTGGAGCTATTTGAAAGTTTTTCTAATTGGTTTATGATCTGGGCATTTGTTTCAATATACAGTTTGTGTGAACTATACTATTTAACTACTAATTTAACACACACCCCCACAAAAGTATTTATGTATTATTTTTTTTCAGTTGTAAATTATTTTGGAGGAACCAGTAGTCTTAAATGTTGCTTTTATTTCAGGCATTTGAACTTGCTACAGGTGATTATCTTTTTGAGCCTCACAGTGGAGAGGACTACACCAGGGATGAAGATCATTTAGCTCATATAATTGAATTAGTAGGTCCGATTCCAAGACATATAGCCCTGTGTGGAAAATATTCCAGAGAATTTTTTAATCGAAGAGGTAAGCTAAATTCATGATGTAAATTCCAAGTCTTTAATGATACTGTTACTTTATTAGAACAAAAAAATATTTATGCAAACAAAAAACTATTTAACACTTTGACTGTTCTGGCAGTAAAAACAGTTTTACTTCCCATATGGCCATGTAAAATGCCAAGCAAAATGAAGCATTTTACAATCCTCATGTACTGAGAAAAGTTAAAATTTAACTTAAATGCATTAAATAGTTTATTGAGTTTAAGTAACTTAATAATTTAAAAAAATTTTAAAATCCCAGAAAAGAAAAAAAGTGACTATCATTAAGAAAAAAAAATACAGTGCAAATTAAAAACATTACTGGAGCTATCTTTTTTTCACTATATTATTTACTTTTTAGTTAAGGCCTATTTCATTAGCAGTAGCCTTTAATTAATTTTACCAATATATATTTCTGTAATTTTCAGGGGAAAATAACAAAAAAATTAAATTAATCTTTAAACTCTTAGGCTGTGCCACATTACTCAGTCCTAAGGAAAGGGGCAGTACTCTTAAAAATATATCCTAAATATATGGCGGGTCCTTTAAGAAATTCTTTAAAAAAGTTTCATCAACAAACATACATTTTTAAAACAAAAAATAAATTGGACTAAGGAACACTACTATTACCATTATTAGTGTTTCTCACCTTTAGAAGTGTCAACACGTTTGCATATTACATTAATTTTTTTTCAATCAAATGTTATCACTGCTATTATTTATTTTCATAGAAATTATATGTGCCCTTATTATAACTTAGTCCAAAGGCATCTGTAAACAAACACAAAAGTCATGGTGCTATGGCAAGATTATGAAAATTTTTACGCAATTTTAAAATAAAATCTCTTAAATCTAATCCTTGAGCCATTTTGAATACTAAAAATACTGAATGGAAGTTTTCCATTTCTTTTAACTGGAGAATTTTTATTGTAATATATAGCTATTTAAAAAAGTAGAATCAGTGATGATATGACACTTTAAAAAAGCAGTGTTTGACTACATCAGGCGTTAAATGGCTAAAAAAGATGCAGACACAAAAATGTAGTGTATGCTAACAAAAACAACTTAGCTTTCGTTGTCTTATTGTAAAATGGAATGTAAATGTTATTTTTAAAATGCATGTCCAGGTGAACTTCGACATATTAGCAAACTGAAGCCATGGGGCCTAGTGGAAGTCCTTACAGAAAAGTATGAATGGTCAGAGAAAGATGCACGTGAGTTCAGTGATTTCCTTCTTCCTATGTTGGCATTTGACCCTAATGAACGAGCCACAGCAGCTGAATGTTTGAAACATCCATGGCTACAGGGAGTATGACCAGTGGCCACTCATGGTTAGCTATTTGTCAATATGTGTATTATTGTGTTTGAAAATTCAAAGCTATAATTTGATTATTAAAGTAGAATATCATGCACTGAACTGTACCATCTGTTATATTGTGTCTTTAAGTTGGACCTGTGAATAATAGAGCTCTCAGCAACTAGACAAAACAAAACCATTCTCTATGAAGTTGAACCATAAACTGTATTTTGTATGCATATAAAATATGTATTGGAAGGTGTTTTTAGAAAGAAATTGTAAATACACAGATGCCTAGGTTATCATGATCGTGACATGTATTATATCTACAGATAGTTATTTTGGACACACTAAAGTTTTAGACAAAATCGAATGTTCATTGTTTTGTACAGTAATGCACATTTGTCTGAAAAAGTATGCATGTTAAGTTAGTTTGGATATTGAAAAAAAAGACTTGGTTGACATAAAAATGGTTGGTTTACATCATAGATGGATACTATTTTGTTCATTTGCTTATCATCTCTTTTTTTTACTTAAATGCAACCATTTAACATCACATTGTTATGTATATCTTAAATTAAACTTTTTTTAGTCATTTAAATGATGCTGAAAAAGATAGCTTCTATTTTAAATACAAAATTTTAAAACAAATATAATTTTCAATTGATAAAAGCATATTTTCCTTAGATAAAAGTATCTGTGACATCTAACAGTTATATGAAAAACTTGAATATTTTGGGTATACACAAGATTCATTTATAAAAATTTGAGTCTGAACAAAAAAAGAAGACTTATATTGTTCACTTTAACATTTTTTGTTGTCATAGATTTTATAATTCTGTCAGCTTTTGAGATGCCCATACCTGTTCACGTTTATATGTTGAATTTTTTTCCAAAGGAGAACAAATAAAATTTTACAAATAAAATATTAAAGATCCTTGCAATCCATTGTTCTTTCATTTACGTAGTTGAAAAAGTTGTAGGATTCTATTCTGGTAGTTTTAAAGTTTAAAAAAAGTATTTTTGATGTTGCTGTTCTTTGATGTTTTTTTTTTTCTCATTCAAAGTATGTTGCTGCTTTATTAATTCAATATTTGTTTTCCATAAAATTCACTGATCTGAACTTTGTAAATTTGAGTAAGTAAATTATTGATCACATAACACAATTTACTCCTTCATATCTCAGTCATGTAGAATAGTAAGAACTTATGCTATTGTGAAGACATTTGCCTATTTATACTAAACAGTGCTACACAATACTGCTTTAGTCTACTGCTCAGCTACCAGACTTTTTACACAGCAATGTATGGTTAGTTTTCTAGGTCTAACATACTGTTGTTATTTCTGCTTAGATGTGTAAATTGTGAATGAAAAGTATATAAAGTATTTTAAAAATAATTTCGATTGCCTAAACCTCCGTGCAGGTCGCTTTATATCAATTAATAAGTTGGCAAGAATGTAAAAATTGTTCAGTGGTAGTTTTTTTATTGGCACATTTCATAGTGTATTGTAGGGTTACATTTATTTTCTAACAAGTCATTATTTTTCTAGATAAAAGCTACACAATTTTGTTACATATTATTTATATGTAAATAAGCATATATATGAAATATAGCCTACATGTATAAGCTTTTATATAGATTAAACTATCCCTGTAAACAAGTGTGGAAGTATGCTTAATATTTGAAGTTTTAAATGATAATATATACTGGTATATATTTATAATAACTCTTATGATCATCAAATATTCCCATAACCACAAGAGCAGCTGTTTGCCTGGTTGATTTCGTATTTTCTCCTGCAAACATGGTCTAGTGTCTTTGATCTCAGATCTCTTTCTGGTGTCCCTGGTTCTTGAGCTGCCTCATCTTTTTACAGAATTGAAAAGTTTTCCTAGGTTTTAAAAAAAATTGATTAGTAAAGCCCAGACATTTTCCATTTTTTTATGTAATACTAATTTGAGAACTTAGTAAATATTTGTCTATCAGCATAGTTTAATGCAATTAAAAAGAGACTCATTTTCCCCAATCAAGCTAAAAAGTTATATCAGTTATACTTAAATTGTGTGTGCGCTGCATTATGTGTTAGTATTTAGTAGTTTGGCACTTGTGAAGTACACATAGGATAAATGAAAAAAAGAATTTATAACATACTGGTACCGGTAGCTTACAATCTGTAGGAAATGGAACCATTTGCTAGTTAATTTGACTTCTTACTGTTCCATTTGAAAAGTTAAAGCAGTAATGGTTAACTGTTTTGGAAATACAAATATGCAATGTAAATAATTCTAGACAACTTGCTTGATTACACTACCATGCGTTAAAGCTTGCATCAGTTTTTATAACCAATTTCCTGGCAAAAGGGACTAGTTTTTTAAAATATTGAGAATTTCTACCACATGAATGTTTGGTGCTGCCATTTCATCTCCTTGGTGTCAATTATTGACTTCATCATGTTTTCATGTCAGGATATAAAGCATCACTTCAAGAAAAATGCTAGAATCATTATTGAGTCCATTGTATTATTAAGGAGGTCACTGTCAACATGATCTGCTATGATTGCTTTTATTGTGCTGTCAGAATTAATTTTTTTTTACTGGCAACCCAGTTTCTAAACTGTCCAGATAAAACCCCAGAGTACAAAGTTACTTCCCTTACTTTTACACATCAACCATTGCAGATGGCCAAATGAATTTTGTAACTACTGGTCACATTAATTTAAAACAGTCACTGTATCTCCACTGCCAAAAATGTTGGATCACTGTAATTAAATCTTGAATAAGTTTTTTTTGTAAACAAGGATTATTAAATCAATAAAATCTCCACGTTAAAATTTCCTTTGGTGAAAATCGACATGAAAGCTAAAACTATCATTTCCATCCATGTTATGGTATTGCACAACACTGATTTTTATACTCCCATTGCCATCTTTGTACAGTAAAATGTATGTATATTTGCTTGAGTTTTATTTTGTTGTGACTACTTTAAAACTTAGGATAGCTATGTACTTCCTCAATGCTAATCACTAGCACACAAGAAATAGGTGTTAGCATAGTCCACAAGTTCAGTAGTGATTATGCTGGCTTTGTTATTTTATCATAACACAGTTCAAGAATGCTTAGTTTATATTACCACATGAATTGAGCCCAAGTTTTTTTTTTTGTCATCTGTTTTCTCATTCCATATGTATGCATGAGGGATGTCCACATCATAGCTTTTTGAAGGGGATGACTTACGTTTAATTTTATTTTTAGATCAGTTGTAAAAAGTTGAGGCAAAGATGAGTCCAGACAAAATTATATGTTAAGTTAATAATCATATTCATTTTATTTATGTCTTGGTCATTACACTTAGAAAAAAAAATGAGAAAATAGATGTTTTTCTTAAAAACTACCTCTTATGTGAAGAAAATGGTAGTAACATAGGTTATTGAATATGAAGTATTGTTCAGTTCATCCTAATAATTCAAAGTTAGCTAAGAAAGCCATGGTGGCATCTTCATGTTTGAAATGAGTTGGTGAACTATCCCTGGCCAATCCCAGACTTTGCTGCAGCTAGATGACTCTCGTTTCTGAAAGCAGACAAACACTACGAATATGATGGTGATTTTGTATGTATATGTTGAATGCAAGCGAAGACGAGTGGTGAATGTCTGCAAAAAACAAAAAAACCAGTCACACCAAGAAGTTTGTATTATTTTGTACTGACATATATCACCTGTATGAAATGTGTGTTTCACCCCATGATCCTTGTGGGTAATAAATGATTATGATTCTTGCTTCAGAGTTGAATTTGTATTCTAGTTTACAATTGATCAGGCAATTATTTTAAATGAAATTTACTAAACTTGGTATCAAAATACATAAAATCTGCTATTGATATAAGTGGCCAGTTTTTTTTTCAAGATGATGTGAGGTTCAATGAAAACATTTGAAGTGAAACCCGGCAAACCATAATACGGTGACATCTACTGCATGCCGACCACCAGAGTTCATTACACTGATCACTGTGTGGGAATTTAAGAAATATCGTCATATCAGACAAATAATTAAGCGATTGATGATCTTTCAAACATCTTTAAACTGTATCTTTACTAACAGGCCTATATGGAGTCTACTTTTACCTCAACAACAAACCGTATGGTCTACTAGGCCAAGCAAAGTCGTGTTTTAAAATAAATCAGGAACGTAACCGCACCGAAGGTAATGAAAATGTTGGCCTTTACTACACGAAAAAGCTTTTCTCCTCCTGTATTCATAATAAACCCACTCCCACAACTCTCCCCACCTCCCACTGCATGGCGAGTCAACTAATTTGTTTTTGTACTATTAATCTAATTAATTAAGTACATAGCAGACGTTGGCCTATAATTTAGACATGACACCCGATGTGTCGATACAGCGAGTCTGACAAGCTGATAAGATGCAAACCTTGATGTGTACCCAGGGGCCATAAAGCCTAGAATAGTTTTATGAGAGTACAAGTAGGTCTGGCGGTGTACATAGAGGGATACATCCGACCTGATGAATCTCCGTACGAAATGTCCCGCTGGCACCGTGCTCATAAATCATGTTCTAAAAAATAACAGTAGTTAAACTATAAGGGGGAGGGGGAGGTACTTGGACACTACACATGTTTTAGAATAGTGAAACAAAATTTACAGTCCGTTGTATTGTGTTTATATGTAGTTATAAAGAGGGAAAAAAGGGTTAAGTGGTTGTCTATAAATGTATTCCTGTGAAGCCTATTTTCCACCCCCCCCCCACTTTCATCATCAAACTTAGTACAAAAAGGCCATACCCTTATGACGTCACAGATCTCCACCGTTAACTATAATGCTAAACAAAAACAACGCGTTAAAAAATGAAGAAAATTTTGTCTTGATAGAGACAATCCCCCCCCCCCCCCCCCCCCATGACCACATCCTCGAGGGTGCATAGCGTCATTAATTGACGACCATCCAACAGTAACAAGCCTAGCTTGATTATACGTGCTGGGTCGGGAAAGTGTATCTTCATGTTAGGAGAAATTCGGTCAAGTGAGATCAACTAGAAGGTTTAAACTGAGGGTAGTTGATTGTGCACAACTTCAGTCTGACCAATCGAGTGGACAACTTCAATCTGACTAATCGAGTGGGCAACTTTAATCTGACTAATCGAGTGGACAACTTTAATCTGACTAATCGAGTGGACAACTTTAATCTGACTAATCGAATGGACATCTTAAATGTGGCTAATCGTGAGGCTCTACGCTGATATTAAGCTCGACGAGCGTGTGCTATCATGCTAGCTCAAGTATGATGTCACGCTGGCTTGTGCGATGTCACGCTGGCTTGTGTGATGTCACGCTGGCTTGTGTGATGTCACGCTGGCTTGTGTGATGTCACGCTAGCGTGTGTGATGTCACGCTGGCTTGTGTGATGTCACACTGCCTTGTGTGATGTCACGCTGGCTTGTGTGATGTCACGCTGGCTTGTGTGATGTCACGCTAGCGTGTGTGATGTCACGTTAACTTGGATGATGTCACGTTAACTTGGATGATGTCACGTTAACTTGGATGATGTCACGCTGGCTTGTGTAATGTCTCGCTAGCGTGTGTGATGTTACGCTAGCGTGTGTGATGTTACACTACTGTTGAAGTTTTATATATCTGTAGACAAAGGTAACATCAAATTGCCAAATAGCTTAATTACAACGTTGTCGGGGTGGGGTCACAAAAATTCAAAGAAACTTTCGCTATTCCAAATAAAAACCAAATTGTTATTTAGTTTAGATTTCTAGCACCCTACGTACACCATTATAACAAATATTTTAACCACCCCTCCCGTTTTCTCGCTGAAGTTGCTCTAGTTTGTACACGCCACGGCCACTATAACAACAAGCTACACCTTCCAACCATTAGCCTATTGTGATTAGCTCCTAATTGATAGGCCAGGCTCGAGTCATGAGCGTATCTTCTGTTAGACCATAGGTTATCCAAATTGTTTGGTTTCAGCCAGCAGGCGACCTACACACAGTGTGTAATGTGATGTTAAACGTTGATGTTTCGCTTGACATGCAAGATTTAGCTCCCCTGGTCAGAGTGTAGAAGTAGCCTAAATGGGTTAGGCTTTGGTTATATTTTGTCATCAATAAAATATCCCACTGCTAGTTGTTTTTCTTTTTTTTTTTCTGGTAGAAAGGAGGCTACACGTTAAAGGATCGTGCAGATACTATTATTAATTATACCCTATTTCAATGAAGAATGTGGGCACATGTTTTAGTTGTTTATCATTTTGTTGTGTTATATTGGAAGTCAACAGCCGTGTAACTGTGATCTACCTTTAGTTTATAATTTGGGGCGATATCTATGGAAACAGAGGCGGAGGGGGGTGGGTGGGGGTGTGTGGGCCGCACCGGGTGATACCCTTTAGGGGGGGGGGGTGTGACACCAAGGCAAAAAATTGCAAAATGTACCGAAGAAAAATAAAATGACTTATGCCACATACAATAGTTATTAATGCTACATCCAACTGTATTATTAACAGATAATGGATAAACATCGTTACAATTAAGTTTGCAGTGATTAAAGCTTATACACATACATGTATGCGGCATATATTTAAATTATAGGCCTATGTAGGCCGACACACACATGTATATATATATATATATATATATATATATATATATATATATATATATATATATATATATATAGTTTCTAGGGTGGGGGGGGGGGTGACACCACGAAGTGCCGCACCGGGTGCAGAGGCGTAGCGGCCCCTCCCGGCGCCCGGGGCGAACTTTCAGTTTGGCGCCCCCATATATATATATATATATATATATATATATATATATATATATATATATATATATATATATATATATATATATATATATATATATATATATATATATATATATATATATATATATATATATATATATATATATATATATATATATATATATATATATATATATATATATATATATATATATATATATAAATGCATTGTCAAAAAAATTCAATCAGGATCTATAGCTGAATATGATGTATCTTTTACTGTATGGCTCGGAACAAGGTTAAAAACATTGGAGAATGAAAAGATGGTGGTTAGGACACAATATGAGGAAGATAAAAAATAACATCACTATGCAGGTGCTTGTGTGAAGTCCATGGGGAAAGAGGAAGAGAAAAAGACTAAATAAGTCCTGAAGGAAATCGTTTGAAATAGAGAAGGGGGGAGGCTGTATTATAATATTAGGGTTCAATCTTCATAAAAATCAAGTGAGTTGACGAAGTGTTGCCTACGCCCAGTGGCGTAGCGAGGTCGGGTGTCACCCGGTGCGGCACTTAATGGTGTCACCCCCCCCCCCCCCCCCCCCCAGAGGCGTAGCGATCCTTCCCGTGGACAAACTTGATTTACAAACGTGGACAAACGTGATTTACTTACAGTTTCTAATACTGTTGACTCTCTACAAGCTCCATAATAAAAGTCAATAGTATTATCTAATCAATAGTAATATAACTTTTACTTCGGCGCCCCACGTTTTTCATCGCTTATAGTAGAGTGATCGCTCGCATTATTGTGATGTATAGTATTTATTTTCTACTTTTTAGTTCAATCAGAAAACGTGGGTTTTTAAAAACTTTTTTAATGATTATTATTTTTACTGATCGGATAGCGATGCAAGAATCTGTTATATTTATTTCTCTTTAATTCAGTGATCCAGGCAAGATGTTAATGAATCAAGTAAAAGTATCTGATCTCTCACGATGAAGTTGAGAGAATCGTAAGAATCTTACAAATAACTAGTCGCGTTATTAAACTGGGTAGTGAAATCGTACGTTAAGTGTTAATACAATTGATTTTTTTTCTAAGTGTTAAAAGAGTTATCTAGTAACCGATTATTGTTGGTGAGACGATCCATGAGACGATCCTGGCTACGACACTGTTTGAGTGATATTGGTTATTTATTCCTTAATCCGGTGTGAATTTTTTGCGATTTTAGTCTTCGAAAAAGCGCCCCCCCCCCCATCCCCAATCTTGGAAAGCGGTTTCGTTTCTCCAGTCACTTTTTCTTAAGGGTATAAGTTTTACAGTTACATATTCAAGGTAGAAAACAGTTATATCAGTATGCAAAGGCTCTCAGCCGTTAAATTTCTTTACTTTGGCTGTTTATAATTCATAGCTGCAGCTTAAAATGAGCTTTTCATATTTTTTCTACCCCTTTTGGCGCCCCCCTAGGGTCGGCGCCCGGGGCTGCCGCCCTCCCCCCCCCCTCCCCTAGCTACGCCTCTGACCGGGTGACACCCGACCTAGCGACGCCACTGTATGGAAATAGTATCTAACGTTGTATGGGGTGGGGTGGTGGGTAAAAAGTCTACTCCATTTGTGGAATGATCACTTGAACCAGATTCGACGTGCTAAAAACATTTTATTTTGAAATCTTTACTATAGGCCTCTGTACTTCTTTACGTCCTTGAATATGCAGGCAAATAGGGCCTACCTACCGTAACCCTACAATACAAAACACCAGCAGTGCTAAATCGTTGAAATGTAGGTTGACAGAGGAATACTGAAAGGAGGGGGGGGGGAGAAAGGTTAATATCTTAAATTATTAAAGTTTGTATCCAAGATTTCTTTCATTTTTCACCCGATGAGGGGGGGGGGGGGGGGGGACTTAAAATTTCCGAGGGATCGGACGGACGTAGTAGCCTATTGTATCAAGGCCCTAAATTAAATCTTTTAAAAATTTCGTGCTGAAGAGCTGCCTGAAATAATCGGTTTGTATTTGCTTCTGTTTAGCTAATTTACCCCCATTCCTCAGGGGAAACGAGTGTGGACACAGCAAAGAAAGATGTTGATCCACGGAGCGGTGTTGGGGGGGGGGGGGGGGGGGTAGGGGGGGCGGCTAAGCTACCACGTCCCGAGATCCACATATGTACATTCAGAAGTATTAATAACAGACACTTTTTAATAAAATATAAAAATTACAACTATGTACACGAGTTGTAAACTTTCGATAAAATTACATTGTGGATTAGCTACCCCTATCCTAAGTCGACCAAAGCCAACATGGTGGCAATTACTACAGAAACTTATTTTATAGATTTATTATATTTATATGGCGTCAGACATTCTGTTACCTTTTTCAAGGTTTCTGCTTAGGGGGTCATCCATAAATGACGTCACGCTTTTTTGAACGATTTTTACCTCTCTTCCCTCCCCTCCGTCACACTTCGACACAAAAAGCCACCCCCCCCCCCCCTTAAATGACGTCACACCTCAGCCTACACCCCCCCCCCTCAAAATTGCATTAGAATTTTTCTTAAAACATCGATATTTTTCCAAAATCTTGTCTGAACTCTGTCAAAATAGATAAGTTTAATCCATTCCTATTGCAATTTATTAAAATAGTTTTCTAAAACGCGAAATAACGTCTAAAATTAGTTTTCTAACATTGCTTTTTTACAATGCAAAAGTGTGACGTCACACCATCTGACCCCTCCCCCTCATCACACACCGTCACAAAATTACCGCCCCCTCCCCTCCCCGTACGAGTGTGACGTCATTTATGGACGACCCCTTAAGGGTCAGCCATAAATGACGTCACACTTTTTTTGGACGATTTTTACCTCCCCCTCCCCTCTGTCACACTTCGACACAAAAAGCCAGACCCCCCCCCCCCCCTAAAATGACGTCACACCTCAGCCTACAACCCCTCTCAAAATTGCTGTTGAATTTTTCTTAAAACATCGATATTTTTCCGAAATCTTGCCAGAACTCTGTCAGCATAGAGTATTTTTATCAATTCATATTACAATTTATTAAAACAGTTTTGTAAAACGCGAAATAACGGCTAAAACTCGTGTTTAACATTGCTTTTTTACAATGCAAAAAAGTGACGTCACAACTCACAACATCTGAACACCCCCCCCCCCCCTCCCCCTCATCACACACCGTCACAAAATTACGGACTCCCCCCCCTACGAGTTTGACGTCATTTATGGACGACCCCTTATTAGTTATCTACCTAGTTAGGCTAAGGACATGTCTATAGAAATATATGCAAATCATTGTCGAAAAACTCAGGTAACAAACTGATAACTGTAAAGGCCGATAAGTTTATGATAAACACGTCTGTGCCCATACAGTAGAAACAAAATCGTCGAGAGTGCTGTACCCTACCTGACCTACTACTGGATTAGGCCTACTACGTGCTGAACACAACTGCGACGGCGTCATTTACATGTAACAACTTTACAGCTTGGATAGTTCCTAGAGTCTAGATCTAGATATCAATCTACAATCTTACAACTAAATCGCCTCTCTCACCATAATTTAGAATGGCCAAAGAACAGAGAAATTGTATTATTGCCGTGGATGGTAGTGAACACTCAGATTATGCACTTGAATGTAAGTTGTTAAAAATTTTAGAAGTTTGGACTTTAACTCCCTTTTAACTTTTAACTTATTACTTTTTGAGACATTGAGTGTAACAGTAAACAAAGACACGACTTTCTAGATCTAGAATCTAGATAGATATGTCTGATATAGAAATCTAGTCACTAGGCCTATTTTTCAGTAATTTTACTATTTAGATAGTAGAATCTAAACTTAATTAAACACACTCGACTCCTTGGTTGCCACCTTCATAGACTTAGAACACCTGCTAGTCACGTCCCTGGCATTCAGAGTATCAGTCTTTGAAACTTAAGTCTTTAATTCATCATTGAATCAAGATTATTATTATTAATATTATCATATAGTAGATCTATATAGATTCTAGATTCTCTATATTAGTTTTAGAATATCTAGATTAGATCTAGATTAGATTTAGGCCTAGATTCTAGATCTAGATTTAGTTACTTTGATTAGGACCAGATCTAGTTGTGTGTGGTTAATAAAAAAATTAATATTATTCTTAAATTAAGGATTTAGACCTAAACGCCACGCCCAGTGGTGTCGCTAGATTGGTTGTCACCCGATGCAGTACCTCATGGTGTCACCCTCATTTTGAAGCTGGTGTCGCCCTCCCCCCCCCTCGGTAAAATCTTTAAAGTGTTCACATCTAATATCAATGATGTTTTTGTCTATAGTCGGCATGTTAATACAGCTGGGTGTAGCATTGTTTTCTCTATAGTTTGCATGCTAACGTCATAAGTCATGGTGTCACCCACTCCTCCCTCGTCAGGATCGTAATTATATACTTAAAATACTTTTTAACTCTAATGAACCATTCATTGAAGTCACAAAATATACTATCATTCTATACATCTTGCAATTTTTTGTCTTGGTGTCACCCCCCTAAATGGTGTCACCCGGTGCAGTCTGCACCCCCTGCCCCGCTTCGTGACGCCTCTGGCCACGCCTATCACTCCTCACCTTATTTAGTTATGATTATTGTATTCATGGTATTATTGGTGCTGTAGTTAAAAAAAATGTGTAATAATTAAAATTCAAATAAATAATTGGACAGTTTTGTTCAATCACTATATTACTGATGTGGTTGGTTGGATGGTAGAGTGAAAGTCACAAGTTTGGTTCCCTGACTTGAGTCTGTATAACTACCCTATTCTAATTGATACACCATAGGCATTTGTCATGTTATTATTAAGGATCTGCTAAGATTCCTTTTCAGCATGGTGAAATTTAAAACTAACAGTATCAAAAGTTTCACAATTAAATCACAAATGTCTATGGGTTATACAATTTTACTTCTTTAAACTTAGTGACAACCTTTTTTCTCAACATTTATTTACATTTACATAAAATTATAATTTAAAAACAAGACCAAAAGTAATGTTGACTGACAAAACATGAGTCTGGGCATCTATCTGTTCAGCTGCTCAATACACTCTGATGTATAGCAATTATTTGTGATTATTTTTTTAGGAATAATAATGCTAAGGTAAAATAATTTTAACTTTTCAGTCTTATGTTTTCTAAATTTTTAACCTAACAATTGACTGAGTTACTTTGAGTTACTTTGTTTCCGTCTCATTTTTCTATATTAAAACATTTTATAACCTCTCAGTTTCAAGTAAGATCATAGACTGAAGATAAAAACTAGCCTTGTTTTATAGCTCTAATAAAGCCATAATGTTTTTAGTAGTTTATGTTTGGTATTATTAACATAAATGCTTAGTAATCATATCTCTCTGTATTTCTTGAGTTAAAATACACTGTTGGGCCCATAATTGTTTTTTCCCCTTCCAAACACTACAAATCATGTAGACAGTCTGTGACACTATGACTATTCTCTTTGTGTTTCTTACAGCTTTAGTTGTATGATGACTCTTTATGTAAAGATAATTTTGAGAATAAGCTTGTTGTGTGACAGTTTAAAACAAAAAGTACAGTATGTTTTAAGAAAGTAAAAAAACAATATTCATTTATGTATTTCAAAGTTTATTGAATAAAAGTACAGTTTTCTATGGTTTAGACTGAAATACACCAGAGCTTGAAATGATAGGGCTCAACGGAGGTCACATCTGTGTATAATCAGATTAGGGCAAGCCATTCAGTTACTTTTGTTACTTGCCAATTGACATACGGTTGCTACTATGGCTTTATCTTAAATGTTTAAAACAAATATACCAAAGTTCAAAATGTTAGCATTGAAATTCATCCTTAGTGTTGGCTTCTGTGTAAATAGATGAAGAATGTCCTCTTTGCATGGTATTCATAATTAACTGATAACAACCAAGTGGTGGTAAATGAATACAATACTTTGAAGTTATTATCTAGTCAGCTAGATAAAGCATGCTGATGATGATAAATGTATTCTTGTGTCATTTAAATTACAAATTGATTTAACAGATGTTTTTAATTGTCTGTCTATTCTTTGTTGCTAGCAGTTGTGTGTGTGTATCTGAATGTTTGAATATGATGTGCTATAGCTTTAAAAAAAAAGCTGCTGTTCTTCTTCTGTTAAAACAAGAGTTATGGTTAGGCTTATAATTTGAGTTGTGGTTAAGTTAATAATTTGAGTTATGGTAAGGTTTATGATTTAAGATAGGGATGGGGATAGCTAGGGTTTGGGTCTGCTGTCCAGCAATTAACATTTTCTCGTAACAGATTGCTTTAGTTGTTTCTCTGTCAGTCTTTAATAAGAGGAGCTCATTTATGTTCAGGTAGTCAAAGTTTGTTTGAAAAAACAAGAAGTTGTTTTACAAAATCTTAACAAGCATAATGTTGTTGACAACTGAATGTTTTCCAAGGCAAAATAAAATTTGAATGCATTTTTGTCTTGACCATCTTAGCATTCAATGAAAGATCAGTCATACAGTGTTGTTAATAATATTACTGAGCAATGCAGTGGTTTCAAAAAAAAGTATCACTTGATATTGTGTACTATTATAGTAAAGTACCCTTGACAGGGGGCAGGTGAAGTAGAGTTCACCTGTTTCAGTGACCTCTGTATATACAGGGATAGTGTGGACAGTTCTATGTCCAGCTGCCTTTACTTTCCCATCACACTTGGTGAAGTCAGCAATGTTATATTGACACAAGCCCAGCTTCACACTCTACCATCCAACCACACTGTGTCACACAATGTAAAATTTGAGCAGGCATTTTCCTCTTGTAGGATCCTGCAAGAATATCCACAGTGTGGATGATCACGTTGTTTTCTTTTATAGGGTTCTGCAAGAATATCCACAGTGCAGATGATCACATTGTTTTCTTTTATAGGTTTCTGCAAGAATATCCACAGTGCAGATGATCACATTGTTTTCTTTTATAGGGTTCTGCAAGAATATCCACCGTGCAGATGATCACATTGTTTTCTTTTATAGGGTTCTGCAAGAATATCCACAGTGCAGATGATCACATTGTTTTCTTTTATAGGTTTCTGCAAGAATATCCACAGTGCAGATGATCACATTGTTTTCTTTTATAGGGTTCTGCAAGAATATCCACCGTGAAGGTGACCACATAGTTTTGGTCTACGTTCCAGAACTGAATGACATGCTGCATTCTTCCAAGTGGAGCAACTGTAAGTTCTAGTTGATTGTAATCACTTGATCTAACAAGTGGAACAACTGTAAGTTCTGTAAAGTAGTTTCCCTTCAAACCTGACGGTCTATGGGGCAAGTGAAGTAGAGTTCACTTGTGTCTGAGACCTCGGTATATGAAAAGATAGTGTGGTCAGCACTATGCCCAGCCGCCTATACTTTCCCTAACGTGAGTTAGGTACCCATCAGAGTTGGGTGGACTCAGGGACGGTCTACTGACTTAAACCCGGATTTGAACTCGAGACTTACGGGTTAGCAATCCAGCTTTCTACCGCTAGACCACTCCATCCCATACTGTAAGTTTTAGTTGACTGTAATCACTTGATATAACAAGTGGAACAAATGTAAGTTCTAGTTGACTCTAATCACTTGATATAACAAGTGGAACAAATGTAAGTTCTAGTTGACTCTAATCACTTGATATAATAACCTGTACATTATTCTAGACTCATTTAGTTTAAATGATCAACCTTTTGTTCTGATAAAAGAGCCCTGATTTATTCCCCTTGTTTTTGTTTAGCTGTGTATGTGTTTGATCGTGAAGTTATGGAAGCTATGTTGAAAGAAGAGCAAGAGAGAATCAAAGCTGACCTGGAAAAGTTTGCTCAGAAACTCAAGCACCATGGGGTAAGCATTCATTTATTCTTCAGAGCTTGGTGGTAAACTGGAGTTCTAGCAATTCATTGATGTTAACAGTTGTTGTAAATTCATATTATTTTAGCAGCAACATGCTTTTACCTTTTGCTGATTGTTTGTAGAAGACTTGTAAAATATTTTCATTTTTTTGCTAAAATATTCTTATTTCACACTTGAACTTTGATACAAAAAGCCATATATAATACATAAATAGTTTATGTAAAAAATGTGATTTTAATAGATAATAATGAAAAGTATATACTTTGAAAAGCCGACTTTTCAAAAAATTAACTTAACAGAAAGTAAAGTTCTAAATTATCTTTATGTAAACCATTTATGTCTACTACTTCTTGTTTACAGTTAGGAGGAAAAGTGAAGAGTGTCATGGCCTCCAAACCAGGGGAGGGAATCCTGAAAGCAGCAGAAGAGGAGAAAGCCGTGATGATCATAGTTGGCAGCCGAGGGATGGGAACCATCCGCCGCACATTTGTGGGCTCAGTCAGTGACTACTTGGTCCACCACTCCCACGTCCCTGTCTTTGTGTGCAAGCACCCCACCAAACACGTCAACACTGAGCTGAAGTCAGAGTAGACGCAGCCCACGCCTCTGTAGACTGACTGGATTGTTGTTGTCATTGTGATACGTCTAAATTTTAACATCTTTTATCATCATAAATTTCATTTTTTAGTATAAAAGTATTAGGATTAACAATAAATAACTGTTAATGTCAGCGACCAGCTTTTTAAACAAAAAATTATGTTGCCACATGTATGCCTATAAGTTAAGTTGTTAAGCTGTTTTCCTTGTCAGTGAACAGTTGCTTAAACAGTTTATAAAATTCTGGATCAGGGTTCTAAAAGTCGTAAACCAATGTTGCAGCTAGTTATTTATTTTATACATATTTATTTAGAACTATCACCATTGTCACATTTTACTACCATCTATCTTAGCTTCATGGTCTGAATATTTCCAGTATTTTGATAAAGTAATATTTTGCTATTGAAGGTGTACAATTGCTATTCATTTTATTTTTTTACTATATCATCATCTTGTACTCTAAAACGACTTCCACCAAAATAAAAGACAACACATTCAAAAAGTTGTAAACAAAGCAACAGTCCCTTTGTAAGAAGATATGTCTGTGTTAAACTAAAAATCTAAAGTTTGCTGGGCCAATTTGACATGTTTGTTGTTTATTTTAACTAACAGAATTTTTAAAAAAAGTTTTAAACTTATGAAATGTTTGCTTTAAAGACAAGTGCCGGAGACATTTCTAGTTAGTTCAAACGTGTTAAATTTGAATGCATTGAAGATGTATTAGATAAATAAACTTGACAAAATTTGGTGTTATGGGCAGGGGAATTCAATGTTTGCCTTAGTTACATTATATTTGTTAGTTTACACCATTGCATTTATTTACATTTTTTTTTTATTGATGTCTTTCACATAATCTATGTCATGTTTAGTGGGGTTATCAATGCATTTTGTTGCTTTTCATCTCTTTTTTTGGTAAAGTCTGCTGGGAGTTGAAGCAAAGTACTTTTGAAGCATTCCATCCTTTCCCACTTAGGGCCAAATCTATAAGGGGAAGAATATTAATTTAGCAGGTTTAGCTGTATAACATGTTCAAAGCTAGATAATATTTCATGTTGTGACTTTTCTTCAAGGGTTTGTTGTTTGTATACCTGAGATGCAATGGTGACCAAAGTATGTTTCCAAATCTTATGCAATATCTTTAAACACGTTTGTTTTTTGATGTTTTTTCTCTTTCAACGATTCCATGTGTTGACAGCTGTAGTTCTCATCCTCTTACTGCTGGGTCTGTTAGTTCACAGTCTCTCTTTACGCATATCACTTTTTTCCTGTGTGCTTCGGTCACATTTGTTTGTAAGAATTTACCTGAACTCCGCTCAATTCTTACCTCACTACTTGCTAACAAGAAAACTATTTTCTAAAAAATTTGAATTCTTCTTTTTGTACTATATATTTTTTTTTTAACTAAACAGAGTGGTTTAACTTGTGAAGAAATCAAACATGTTTTGATGTTTTGTTAGTAAAACATTTTTTGCATGCGGATTTTAGAATAAAAATTTCTATACAAAAGATTGTTTTTGTTGTGACATTTTTATTGGAGAAACATTTTCAACCAAGAACAAATCAAACAAGGGTCATGGGTTTTCTTAAATTATTAACACATTTGGAAGAATACAATAAACTTTCAACATACAGGTAGCTAAGTAAAAATATATTTAAAAACACTTGTAACAACTTATAAAACAGTGAGGAATGTGTGCTAATTAGCTTCAACTTAATTAGAGCACGCGTTTCAAATTTGAATAGTTTTATACTTTATATGCTGATTATCGGGTACAATAAAGTATTATCCAGTTTTTCCTGCGATCATGGATAGGGTATCGACACGTACTGAAGCAATCTGGTAAAGTACTGTATCGAATGTTAAATTGACATCATTCTATGCCTGTACATACACTAAACAATTTAGCGGTGATGTTCTTAAACATGGTATCCGTAAAACACATAACAAGTTCAAATATAAATGCGACCCCCCACCCCACACAGGCGAGTTATATAGTAGATTATTACTATTTCATTGGTCTTTCACTTTTCCCTGACTTGCAAAAAAATGCGAATGGGAGTTTTCGGCACCAAATTTCCAGAAAAATCTTCAATCTCCAGCACTTCCGGTGTAGCTTTAACCACTTGCAGGCGCCCCAGAACGTGCACCAATGCTATTTTTAGCTCCATCAGAGCCAGTCTCATCCCAATGCACTGGCGCGGTCCGAAACCGAAAGGAACGAACGTAACGGGGTTGACACTGGCGTCCAGAAACCGTTCCGGTCGGAAAACATCCGGTTCCGGAAAGAACTCCGGGTCACGGGCGAGATTGTAGACTGGAATCAGGATGCCAGTGTTGGCCGGGATAAATAAACCGCCCAGCGTCGTGTCCTTGGTGGTTTGTCGGGTGAGGATATGAAGCGGTGGGTACATGCGCAGAGTTTCATCAATCGTCGCTTGTAAATACTTCATTTGTTGGCAGTTGTCGTAGCTCGGTTCTTCGGCGTCACCCATGACGTCAGCGATTTCGCTGTAAACTTTGTTCTGTATATCCGGGCACTTTGCCAGTTGGTAAAACAAGTACTGCATGGCGGAGGAGAGTGGGTCATACCCCGCGATCATGAAAATCAACCCCTGCGACGCAACTTCGTCTTTCGTCAGTTTTTTTTCGTACATGCCATCGTCATCCGCAGACTTGTTGTCATACTCGGACTCTAGCAGGAGCTGGAGAAAATCGGATTGACTTTTTATCTTCGTACTCCTCTCCGCTACCAAGGCGCCGATATTCTCTTTGAAGTATTTGATATCGCTGTACTTGAAGTAGCCAATGTTGAACATTTTCAACAGTGGGATGATCGCTGGGAAAATACCCACAAGAGTCAGTTTGAGCTGGATTATTTTATCAATCGTCATGAGGCTCCTCGCGTGCTTGATAAACGGGGCGTTCAGATTGTTCTGGGAGTCAAGGTCAAGGCCGAAGGTTGTACCGGCGATGGCGTCCAGCGCGTAGGCCCCGAAGACAACTTTCGCCTCCAGAGATTCGCCTTTAGCGGCGTAGCTCTGCAGGCGATCGCCGAGCAGGTTCGCCGTGCGGTTTATACAGTGGGTCATGAGCTTGAGCTTCCCGCTGCTGAAGGAAGGGGTCATCATCTTACGCAGGCGTCTCCATTTCGACCCCCGGGCGAAGAAAACTGTCTTCTGCACCATCTCATGCTGCAGCTTGCCCTCCCCCACGAAGAACCTGTCGGCGAAAACGCTGAAGTCTTTGACGAAGATCTGCTTCAGCGCTTCCGGGTCTGTGACGACCAGGACAGGTTTCCTGTAGAAGTAGATGCCGAACATGCGCCCATAAACGCCCTGCCAGTTCTTGACGCAGCGTCGAAAGCCCAGCTGAGGGTCAAACATCTCCAGGATGTTCCCAAAGAACGGCGCGGGCTTTGGGCCTGCTACCCCCAGCTTTGTCCACACACAGTGGGTGTCGGTGCCGTACCTGGGGGAGATGATTAGATGTTCATAACAATTTTTATCCCGTAAATAATGTAAAAAAGTGGATAGGGACAGAAAAATCAACATGGAGACAATTCTCTACCAATTACTTATAGACACAATGGAATGGCATGGTCTAGTAGTAGAATGCGCGCTAAATAACCCGAAAATCTCGATTTCAGGTTTGAATGCGTGTATGTGTGATAGGCTACCTTTGCTGTGTGACGTCATTTATAGATTAGCCATTGCTAAAATTACAATATGTGTCTACTTCAATTGTTGGCTTGACATTCATATTTTACGTTAGGTTGAGATCAGAACAGGAAATTTTTTTTGACATTCTAGCAACAGCAACAGTCTCTAATTTTCAATTCTAGCTAAAATACCAGTGATGGGATCATGGATCAGCTTACAAGTCGCATCGCTGTGAACTGATCTAAATGTGCTAAAGAATTTGTTCCATAGTAATAATTTAAAATGTTTCTTTTTCAGAAGATACTGTATTTAAAAAACCGTTTGTAAATAATTTAAATTAAATTTTGACCGTGTTTTCCCCATAATTCTGTATGGTACGCCAAAAAAGTCCCACGCATTGGCTTACGAATAAAGTTTACGAAACGATTACCACCAATATAAAAAATAGAGGGGCGATAACTTGACTTACCTGTACAGCATTAGCACACATGAAATAACGGTCAACAAGACCGCTGGCATCGCTAAATCTATCACTGAACTAGGCGATGTCAGCCCATCTATTACCGGCGTCTCCATGAAAGTTACTTGTGAGAATTTTTTGGTAACGTTCGATTTTGGTTGTTTTAGAAAGTCGTTGATTTGCCGTCAGAATACGACGATTTTAATAACGACAGCGACATGAAATGGACCGATGTTTCCAAATGCGATTCTCTTTTGGGGTATTTATACCAACACGGCGATAGAAAAACAGAGAAGTGTGGGGGTGGGGGTGGATGAAAACTTAAAAAGAAGAGGGGAGGGGGAGACATTTAATTTCCTACACCCCGCTGTCAAATACCAGCGTATAAACAAGCTTTCATTAGGAGCCGCAGAATCCGGTATGATCCGCCGAGACCGAACTGCAGAACAGCAGCGTCTCAAGCTGTTTGACAGCAGGCCCCGCTGTTCCGTCCCAGGGATCATCTGCATGGGGACGAGAAAACAGCACTCGGCAAGTTTGGCGTTACCATGGCAACGGCCGTCAGGAGTAGATGACCCGTGAACCTTAAGACCCGTCACTAGGTTGCGCTGTTAATGACGTCAAGGAATGAACTAATCCGACTGGCGTTCTAGGAGGGAGCGGACAAACGAACAGAAAAGTCCGAATATGGCGTTGGTTTACCGGGGGAAAAATTGTTTTGCGTCATTGCTAAGAGCATATTACTCAACGGGGTGGCATTTTTAACAAAAAAACTTTATTTCAAGCACGCACAAAGTAACAACACAACAGATGCTTCATTGAAAGTCAGACAATCGAACTCACACGTAGATCTATATCAAACACAATGAACTCAAGATAAAGGCGCCACTCACACCAAGTGCTCGACTGCACCCATTCTAGTTGTGGCTACATACGCATTTATACTTATAGGCCTAAATATATATTGGCAAAATTTAAATAAACGCAAAAACAAATACAAACGCAAACACAAACATAACCGCAAACGTAACGCAAACATATAAGCAACTGAAACACAAACGTAAACCAACTAAAACACAAAAACAAAAGCAAACGTAACACACATACTGTGGCGCCAAACAGCACCCTGTCGGGGCGCCGGAGGATGCCCTGGATTTGTTTTAGTGAAGGACTATAGTAACCCTTCTTATCCATAGTCTATTACCCTGTTTAATTTTAAAACAAATGTAGGCGCCATAGCGCTCACGGGAAGGCTCGGGGCGCCAAATAGCACACTGTCGCGACGCCGGAGGACGTCCTGCTGTGATTATATTTAGTGAATGGTTATAGTAACCGTTTTTATACACGGCCTATCACACACTTTAAAACAAACGTATGCACCTTAGCGCTCATAGGATAGCCCGGGGCGCCAAATCGCACCTTGCCGGTGCGCAGGCGGGCGTGCCTGATTCAATTTAGTGAACGACTATAATACCCCATCTTATCCGCAAACGGAAAGATAAAAGTTAACATAGAGGACATTTAGGAACGGCTTCAAGACTGTTATTGATTAAAAATAATGATTAGTAAACAGTACGTTCAGTGTTTAAATAAATAAAAGGTAGTATTTAAAATATCCGTGCTTTACCGACCACATTGCACTTTATCAATCCACTCTAATTATATAATTTTTTTCCAACATCAAACAAAACAAAGTAATAAGAAATATTCCCCCCCTCCCCCTCCAAGTAATAATTTTTTTGGTGATCTATCATCAAGAAAAGTAATTGGTAAGAAGGGATTAAAGGAAGTAATTTATACACTTTTTTACAGACACAATTACATTTTTTGTGAAGGTTGATACATTCAATTTGATTTTGTTCTTTGCACGTTGCGTCAATTTTACAAAACCTTCATATCTCTTCCATGACTTATCACCCCTATTTAAATAGACTATTTAATATATATTAGACTATTTAAATAGTTGTGCTAAGTCATGTTGTTGTTTTTTGTTGTGTCGATGCAATAGTGTGTGTTAGTTACTGTAGAACAATCATTGCAGTAGTGGATCATTTAAAAAAAAAAACAACCTCAAGGCGAAAAAAATTTATTTTGTTGTTTTTGTTCGGATTTTGAGTCCCCTAAACGCCTGCCTCCCCCCCCCCCCCCCCATTAGTCGCATGGTAGTTCCGCCCCCTTTTATATATATATATATATATATATATATATATATATGGCCAATAATTCTAATAGTAAGTATCTTCGTCTGTGTGTTTTATAGATTGATATTGCTGCTAAGTCACAAAGCCGGATAATGTTATAGCCGAGACAGTAGCGTACGCAGGGGGGGAGCAGGGGGAGCGGCCGCTCCCCCTCTGGCCATTTTCAGCAAAGTGGCGCCTTTTTGGAAACTTTTTAAACTCAAAGTTTTAAACAATGATTTTTGTTACAAAATTTTAAAAAATTTGCACGTCTATGTAAATCACAAGATTTTTTTTCATGCAGCAATTAAGCAGAATTGTACTAGTCTAGTAGCGTCTACGTTTACAACACGTATTAACAGCTGTATCAAGTTAGTCATTCTAAAAATAACCATTACGATGCATTGCAATTTAAAAAAAACCTCTACAGGTAGTACCACTTGGCAAGAGGGGTGTTAAGTTTAAGGCAACTGTACAATGTATTTGCTTAAGAATAATTGATCTAGAAAATATTATACATAAATCTTCACACATAATTACTTTATATATACAGTTTTAATAGTGTAATTAATTTAAAACAAATACAACTGACGTGGCACCTCTATTTAAATTTATTTATGGGCAAACTGCGTAGTGGTGTGGAAATTTCGACAAGGTCAACAACGTCATCACGATGAAGTAGTAGTATTTTGACAGTTTTGGTGATAGTGGTTACAATTAAAAATTATATAAAACAGTTACAACCCCCCTCCCCCCCCTCATGGACCCCCCCCCCTGTAAAAAAAATATTGTCATAATACCACTGCTACTTATTTAAATCTATTTCTGAATCAGTATATATGTGTAATTGAATATGTATGTTTAGAACAGTCATCTAAAAAACTGACGCTATGTTCATGCTGAGTTGGTTATCCCACCCACCCCACCCCCATTCACACACCTCACCACCACAATTGTGTAGAGCGACATTAATGTCACACCTAGGTATACACTGGGTTGGATAATTGACCTAAAGTGACCGGCAGTGGTGAATGAAGTTGACCCCCTCCCAACACACCCCGAACTGATCTGTTAAGTACATTTGGGAAAACGCGTAACGATGTACCAAATTACCATGCCGCCAGAATCATAGCTTTGGAAACAGGCAAAACTCTGTGAATATTATTTTTGCAATTACCAGCAAAAAGGTGATCTAACCCATACCTGATCACTATGTTAAAAAATGATCTTTAAAGAACACAAAAAGCAGTAGTTAATTAAAAGGTGTATGATCTGAACTATAAGACCGGTATTGTAGATAAATGTAAGCTATTATTCCGAATGTTTTTCTAATATGTTTTAAAGCGTGTTTTTATACCAACTCTCATTTAAATAACGTTCATTATGCTGTAATACTTTAGCATTTATGATGACGATATATTTAATTCTGATTGTAGACAACATTTTTGTAAACACGAATACTGTTAAAAAACTTTGTTACATTCTAAAGTAATTATTGATTTGTTTTGACACTTATAATTAAATATGTAGATATATATTAAAATTTATACTAAGAGAGTGATTATTTCCCCTATTTCGTATGTCTTAATTAATGTCCCAGGAATTGTTATGTTAAATTTTTTTTTACAAGAATTACAAAACAGATTGTGTTGCGTGTATTGTTTTTGGTTGTAGTGTATATATATATATATATATATATATATATATATATATATATATATATATATATATATATATATATATATATATATATATATATTTGTTGTTTAGATTGATTTTTGTTTTGTCGGCCTACATTGTGTGTTTTTTCTTATTTCTTCAAGTGCTACTTACAATTTATTTTACATCATAGCGAAGTAATGACATGCAGCTAGTAATTATATATATATATATATATATATATATATATATATATATATATATATATATATATATATATATACATATATATATATATATATATATATATATATATATATATATATATATATAATACACGTAAATAGAACGTGTTAAAAATTCGGCGCCTTTTTTGGTTCATTTCGCTCCCCCTACAACGAAAACCTGGATACGCCTCTGAGCCGAGACAATATGAATTGGCTGTGTGTCGGCTACTTTTGACAGAACGATTGAGACAACGTCCTTCGCCGTTATCAATCTATTTTTACCAATCGTCCTCTTGACATCGACCTTGAACTTTGATACTGTTTGCACGGGGAGTAGGGTCGGGTGGGTGGGGTCTGGGGGATGAATGAGTGAACTGCGACTTTGGGAAATTAACGCGCGTAAACATAATACTATCACCACATTGGATGTGCGTATAAAATCTATCGATGTTTTTAAAACAATCCGCCATGTTTTTTTTTATTGATTTACCGCTATATCCGACGATGCTCCGGTGACCTCCCCTTCCCCTCGTTTTCGCGGGCTTTTAAAAGGCTGGTCCTAATCGCCTTGCCAAATCCGCCCGGCGCAATCTAATCCACCCTTTGACCACGTGACATCCACTCGTCGCCGATCACTTCACCAGCTGTTGCCATAAAGACATTAGCACTTTCCCGGTAGGGGGGACTGGGCATGCGCAGTTGACAAGGCATTTGTTTATATTTTGATCACTCGCTGTTAGTATGCTTAGAGTTTAGAGGATACATTGTATACTTTGCGTGTGGCTTTGTACTATTATGAATGCAGTAGATATTAGTTTATCATACAGCATTTAAAGTTAAGGATATGGAGCGATACATTTTTTCAAGGGTTCGCAAATCACCCCAAAATTAGGCTTATTAATCAACAAACTACGATATATATATATATATATATATATATATATATATATATATATATATATATATATATATATATATATATATATATATATATATATATATAATTCGTAGTTATATTATATATATATATATATATATATATATATTATATAT